TTTTTTCTTTTTTTTTTTTTACAAATAGTTGAAACCTTAAATGTAAAAGCACCTCAGTAATACACTTATCTGTAATAATTTGTTTAAATGGAAATAAAATCTAAATTTTACCCGAAATCCTTGTTTCTATTTTCAAATGAAAAAAGTTGTTAGAATCTGTTTTTCAAAGAATAGAAAAAGAAAAAAAAAAAACTGGAAAAAAAACTAGATTTATTTTTTGAATTTCTTGCCGTCATAGACAGGAAAAAGCATAATTCTGATTAGCTTATAGCCTCTGAGCGGCTAAATGAAGAACAAATAGCCACTTACCATGGGACAAACTGAACCACCGCCGCCTACAGCTACGGATACACCTCATCTGCGCTGCTGCGATCCTTAAGAAATCACTTTTAATATGAAAATTAACACATACAGACCGTTAGTGTGCAAGCTAAACCAACTATAGCAACAAAAGGATAGCGTTTCTGTGATTGGGCTGTTTAAGTCACGTGGTATGTTTTGTAGCCGCTGATTGGCCAGGAGCTAGCGTTTTAAGGTTCCTTAGCAACAGAACGCTGTGGCCTCAGTTCAGTTGTCTGTTCAGATGCACAGCTTCTAAACTACATAAACTTTTTAAAACAACGTGAAATAAATCTGTCCCACTTTTTTTTAATGGTGTGAATATTTTTCCATTATTGTTGCATCAAATAAAATGATTTGTAAATGGAAATAAAAAAAAACAAAATGCAGGCCAGAAATAAAACTTTGAAAATCGTCTTCATCAAAAAAGGTTTTGAAAGTAACATATATATATATATATATATATATATATATATATATATATATATATATATATATACATATATACAAAAGAATGAAAGAAGTTTCAGTTGAATGCAATTTGTAAAGCTCAGTCATAAGAGAGAATAAAAAAAAAATACAAAAAATTTGAATAAATATCTGATATACCCGATCACTTAATCAGATCATTCCCACAACTAATATAAACTTAGCGCAGCTCTGCCAGTGCTGTTTACGTTATTCTATGAGTTTATATCACCTACCGTCCCCTAAAGTAATGAAATAAGCTGTTGTGGAATGTTCTTATGATAAAAATATAATTTTGTTGTTTGTTTCCAAAACATGCAACAGCAATGAGTAGAAAAATATATTTGCAGTGGAAAGAAAACTACAAATAAAAGACTTCCTTAACAATATATATCTATTGAATTTAGACATATAATACAAAAATAATACTAATAATACTAAAATAAAGAGTGAAATATTAAGTATACCTAAATTATTATTATTAACTTTACTGAAACCAAGTAAAAGGAGGTTTAAAAACAAAGTTAATCAATAGTTCTCAAAACTAAAGAAAGTATACAGAAATATCACGTTACTTTTAGTTACAGAAAATTTGATTTTCTGGTTGCTGCTTTAGCAAATTTTTTTATTTGTTGACTTTACTACAAAAAAAATGTTCTGCCGATTGCTGTTGTAGTTTTACAGAAACAAACAAAATAATCCAACATAACGTTTTATTGTGAAAAACATTTTACAGCAGGTATTTTATTACTTTTAATAGCCCAGTTATATAGTTTATATTAGCTGTGGAAATGATGTGATCACCTGACTGTTCATGCAGGAACCCATACTGTCAGAAATGTAATTTTATTTAGGGCGGCTCTGCAATGTAGAAATATTAGGCCGAATCGTAAAGAATCTGAATTACTATTGTTTAACATGTCAGGTAAGTTGTTTTCTTCCCAGTAAAGACGCAAATCAGTCCATTTATGAAGCCAGATCTTCTTTTCTTTATTGATTCTGTCTGGCGACACAGAAAAACAAAACATCGGGTACATGAACTGTTCTCGATCATCTTTAAGGATGTGAGCGTGAGGACACACCAGTCTTTGGCACTTCCTATTCTAAACAAACATGCTGCTGACAGATAAGCATCTGTTCTTTTTCTTTTATCGTTAAACCAAAGTCCTTAAAATACATCTGACAGTTTGAAAAGGAAAGAACAACAAGCAGGTCACACATTTTCATAAAGTAGAGGAGGGCACAGATGAACTGGACTCGTTTAAAGTGTAGAAAAGTAAAAATGACCCTGCATGTCTTGGGAAGAGAGCAGGTTGGTTTGAGTCGGCAGTTACCTGTGGTTTGTTCCCAAGAGGCTTAACATGAAGCATTAAAAACAGCTCATTGTGCTCTGGAGCGTTGGGTGCATATACAGGATGAACACTGACTGCGCATCACCAGAATAGTGTCTGCAGACACCGAACTGAGGCTCTAAACTGCAGGAAAAAAACGCAGCAGATGGAAAACAAGGCGATATTTGACAGTTTCAAGGTACAACAAAAAAAAAAAGGCTCACACCTTAAACTGCTTTTTTTCACAGAAAAAGGAGGCAGAAGTTTTCTGCCGGAGTTTTTTTTAACTTGTTAGAGATCCACCAATCAGGCTGCTTCAGGTCAAAGTGATTAGAGCCTCAGCTTCCAATAATAATCAAATTTAAAATAAGGGAATTTCTGCAATATTCACATTATTGGATTAAAGCAGGTACCTCCTACCTCCCCTGATTATTATCAGGATAACATAAATTACATCATAAATTAATAATAGGTACAATAAACCCAGATGTTACAGTATCCCACCCAAAAATCAAAGGAAAATTGTCTGATTGGTGCATCTCTGCATAATGCCTCACTATGGAGCTAAATTTTGCCGATAAAGGTTAATTTTCTTTTCTTTTTTTTTTTTTGAAAAACTAAATAAACCAAGGAGAAAATATTTAAAACTGAAAATTATACACTGAAAACTAATTTAAACTTTGAATAGAACAGATTTCAACCTGAAAAATGTTTTAAATTTCAAATAAAAAAAAGGAAAATTGCAACAAATTGAAAAAAAAAACTTTTTTTGTAAGTTGAAAAGAAAGTTGAAGCTGAAAAATATTTTTGGAAACCAAAAAAAATTGGAAATGAAAAAATAACAAGCTGAAAAAACATTTTTGAAACTGACACAAAATATTTGAAATTTCAAATAAAAAAGGAAAGTGCAACAAATTGAAAATTCTTTTGGAAGCTGAAAAGAAATTTGAAGCTGAAAAATATTTTAGAAACAAAAAAAAAAATTTGGAAATGAAAAAAAATAACAAGCTGAAAAAATATTTTTGAAACTGACACAAAATATTTGAAATTTCAAATAAAAAAAGGAAAGTGCAACAAATTGAAACAGAAAATTTTTTTGGAAGTTAAAAAGAAGAAATTTGAAGCTGAAAAATATTTTTGAAACAAAAAAAAATTTTAAATGAAAAAATAACAAGCTAAAAAATATTTTTGAAACTGACACAAAATATTTGAAACTTCAAATAAAAAAAAGGAAAGTGCAACAAATTGAAAAAGAACATTTTTTGTAAGTTGAAAAGAAAGTTGAAGCTGAAAAATATTTTGGAAACCAAAAAAAATTGGAAATGAAAAAATAACAAGCTGAAAAAAATATTTTTGAAACTGACACAAAATATTTGAAATTTCAAATAAAAAAAGCAAAGTGCAACGAATTGAAACAGAACGTTTTTTGGAATTTAACAAGAAGAAATGTGAAGCTGAAAAATAGTTTTGAAGCAAAAATAAATTTTGAAATGAAAACAAAACAAACAAACAATGAAAACAAACAAAACATTTGAAATTTCAAATAAAAAAAAGGAAAGTGCAAAACTTTGAAACAGAATTTTTTTTGGAAGAGGAAAAGTAATTTGAAGGTGAAAAATATTTTCTAAAACTGAAAAACAATATTTGAATCTGTGAATAAATAAAATGAAACTTAAAAATAATTGAAACTAGAAATAAAATGAAAATTACTTTTAAGATTCAGGTTTTTTTTTTCACTTTTAGGAATTCATTTTCAGTTTCAAATAGCTGGCCCCGTCAGTGTGGGGGCGGGGCTCTGATAAAATTGGGTGTGGAATGACGACTGGAAGAAAAACTGACCAAAAGCCTGAAATGGGAAATGGAGATAACTTTAAAAAAAACTTCCATATTCTATGTTTATGTGATTGATTTTAAAAATTAACTTTTTAATTAACTAACTCAATTATATTAATTATGAAAAACTGTTCATTTCACCCGGTGGCACAAATTTAATTGGAAAAATTACGATAATTTCTGTCCAGGCACCTCAGCTGTCAGTCATCACTCCACACCCAGTGTCATCTAAGCCCCGCCCCTACGCAGAGGGGCTTGAAACTGAAAAAAAAGTTATATGAAAACAAAGTTTCAAACATTTCTTTTTAATTCAAATCATGTTTAATGTTTAAGTTCATAGTATTTTTTGTTGTAATTTTATTTTCTTTTTTTTTAGTTTTTGAACAACCTTTTTGGCCCAGATTTAGCTCCATACCTGGACTGCATTAAGACTTTTATTACTGTAACAAACTCTGCAGCAGTCTGCAGATCAGCTGCCTGATTTAAAAAGAAACATCTACCCGTTCTCACTGGATCTTCACAGTTTATCTTGTTCCCATCGGCTCGCTCTGCCTCCCCCTCATACAGTACCTTGTTCATCATCTTTTAAATACATTTACAAAGGTTATGTGGCTTTTTTTTTAAAATCCTCCTGACAGGAGGAAATGCGCTTCCTTCCCTCTGCAGTCCGTGGTAAAAACAAATCCCTTATTCTGGAGGTTAATCTCTGTTCTGCCTGACCGCCTCTTCTTCACGCGTTTCATTTGTCTTATTTTACAAAAGTTAAAGATGTGCACAGCGGAGAAATCCATGCTTCATCTGCTGCTGGGTGAGTTTCACACAGTTAACACTTTTTGACATTTCCTTCTTTTTTTTTTTTGTTCAAAGCTTAAAGAAAACATTTTTAAATATGAAGCACAGAAGACATCACAGCAGTAAATAGTCTGAACAGAAGCTGAAAAGATTGTTTTGTTGCTGTAATTAAGAGCCGATAAGTCATAACATTATGACCACCCATGGAATATTCACAATCCTTGTTTACAAATATTTCCTCTGCACTATCAGTGCAGGATCCTTTAAAGACCAAATGGGAAAAACACTGAGACGTAACTCAATGGTAAAGGAAATGATTCTTGTTTCTTTCTGTTCAGGATGTTTGGGGTCTGCACGTCCCAATTGGAGGGAAAAAGTTTAATGTTCTTCTCTGTAGATTCTTCAGTTTTTGTATGGAGTGAACTTTGTTCCATTATTTTTGTAAATGGAAATTTGAAAAAGTACAATCCAGGAATTAAACTTTTGTCAAACGTTTGTCAAATGTTTTTTTTTTCATACTTTCATAAATTTTTGGGTGTTTTACAGATTTTATTGTATCAAGATTTTTTTTAAAGATTTTATATTTTCAATTTCGTTTTCAAATTTCTGTTTTACAGATTGAGTTTCATTTTAAATGGTGTTTTGCTTCTTCACTTTAAGACCAAATCGAATGCTAGCTATTAAAGTCGTAGGGAAGCGGCAGTTCCAACCGTTGCATTTCCGAATTCTCCCGAGTGGTGCACGACTTTACACGATTGCATAAAGCGAATGTGATTGGTCATTTATCAAGGGGGCGGATTGTTGTGGCGAAAGGGTTCGGTTGTGGCCGGTTTGTCGGAAGCATCTTGCTAATCAGTTAGCAACTTAGTGCTAGTAGGTTCCCAATGGGAAATTACATTGGGACCAAGTAGCACTAAATTGGTGACTTAGAAACGACGCTGTCAAGGAACGCTATGGACAGCGGAAACATGCAAGAGGAGGAGAGTTTAGTGTCGGAGGTCGTGGATGAGTCTCCTCCGTCATCCATTTTTTATTTAGAGGAGGAAAGCGGGGACGAAGATGTTGTGGAAGAGGACGCCAGGGCGGCAGAAGCTTGGTTTGGTGTAGAAGGCTTCCAGCCGTACATGTTTGAGCCCTTGCCTCGCAACGCTGCCAGTTCTGTTAGCTCTACGCCTGCTGAAGACACAGACGTCCATCCCCGTGAACACTGGGACGGAACTCAATGGGAAAGCGTTGCGTATATTAGCTGCGACATATGAATCAAGATGCTATGACCGAAAAAATGTGATTGACAGATGGCCGTTGATATACGATTGTCCGAATTTAGGTGTTCAGGCTGACGTAGAACTAACTGGCCTGCAGAAGATAACAAAAAAATACACAAATTTTAGAAATTTTCGGACATTATGATAAAGAGTGCATTTATATACATGTTTAAGCCAGAATGATTTTATATTTAAATATGACTTCCCTACGACTTTAAAAGGATTGACTCCTGATTCCAACATTTTTAATAACGATCACAAAACATCCGTCAGTAAATCCGTTTTTATTCAAATGTGATGCGACTTTAAATAGTCGAAAATGTGAATTAGTCGCGTTTCTATCCAGTGGAGTGAATTAGCGAGGCGAAGCAAAGCTTAGCGTTGAAATACATCTATGTTATGCTTTGGTGCGGTACACAGATCAGATGGAGCACAGTTTTAATGAATTTAAGTAGTTTTTACTTTATCATGTCAGCGATATTAAACTGTTCAGAGACGTTAAAAGAAGTGTGATTCTAATGCTGCATTCAGGAAGTGAGCGGCAGCGGAAACAGCTGATCAGAAGCCCGGTTTTATCAGAACCATTTGATTTTATGCTACTATAACATGAACATGATTGTGAATTTAGAGAGAAAAAACAGTTTTCAGATAGGATTTATTCACCAAATGCGTTTTTCTACCTCCTCTGTCGTGAATTTACACTTTTCTGAATACCGGTAAATAAAAAAATCACCTGAAGAGAGGGTAAAAACTTTTTTGGTGATCTTTTGTTTCCTTTTGGATGCAATTCAGCGCTTATAGAAGAAGCAGTTCTCCGCTAAACCAGAAGGTGGCAGCAGTGACATGCTCATGTGGAACGTCCTACTTTGGCATTTTAAAGTTATTATATTCACTAAAACGAAGAAAATTAAACACATAAGTACGCGTATTGAGATATGGACGCTGTTTTTTGGAGGATGAAGGGACTTGATGACTGTCAGCTGATTATAGTAAACTCAGAGCGACCGGAGATCTGTGCATCATCATTCAAGTCTTTGGAGATCTCTTATTGTGCGATCAAAAACAACAAACTGTACATAAAATTTAGGGCCTCTTATTCTGAATGGTTGAAGATCAAACCCTAAACATCTCGGGAATTTTCCGTAATGCCTGATCAATCCGGCCCACTGGGTCAGAGACAGGAGAAACTGTTGATAATTGGCTCAAACCCGAAGGTGGTCATAATGTTTCAGCTCATCGGCATTTCTTTTTTTTTTTATTGAATATTTCTTTGTTGCTATTTTACAGGTTTTAAACTAAGAAGCGGTGTCTCCATCCTCTTGTTCAGAATCATGTCGGAACACCAGACTGATCA